GGTACGCGGGCCTCTCACTGTTGTGGCCTCTCCCATTGCAGAGCACAGGCTCCGGATGCGCAGGCTCAGCGGCCATGGCTCACGGGCCCAGCCGCTCTGCGGCATGTGGGATCTTCCCGGACCGGGGCACGAATCCGCGTCCCTTGCATCGGCAGGTGGACTCTCAACCACTGCACCACCAGGGAAGCCCCCGCCTCCTCTTAAGATGAAAGAATGTCGATGACAAAATATTAAGGCTAAAATCTAGTTTCATCTTGCAACTATTTCAACATACTGAGGCTGCCTCTTTAACAGAAATTGTTCACATATTTAAATAACTTAGGTTGAGAGAGAGAAATTGATAATTTAAGGTTTCCATTTTTTAACTGCATGTGCTGTAATTCACAAGAATGTGGAAGGGTAAGAATAGGTGTTGTAGATACTATAACCCTATGAGCTAAAATACATTTAGTTACAAAATTTTGACTTCTTTCAAATCCTTTAGTTCCCTGAAATTGTTCTTTTTAGCACCTAACCAGTGTTCTCTTTTCACTAGGCAAGTTGACATGCAGCCATAAAACTATCATAAAGAGGAGAAAATTTAATATTTTGTTTCTCAGAAAGTCAGCCTCTCCAGGGACATTTCAGGTTTCTACCTTGGAGGCAATAGTTCAGAATCGACTACACACTACCTGTCTCAGTCTTGCTCTGTACAAACCAGCCTATCCTGGGCAGAAAGCAAGCATTTATAAAGAACACAGCCAAACCTCACCCAATTTCTCTTTTCAGCACCCTAATTAAAAAGGCTAAATGGGGTGGCTCCTCCACTCTCATGAAAATCACCTCTGAAGCAGCACTGAAACCTTTTAACAAAGGGGCATTTATACAGCACAACAGAACTTTGATATCTGCAACGCTTAAAAAAAATACATTCCCGTTCCTGAGGAAATTAACTTGCCAGGTTTGGTTTCAAGAGACTAACTTTCCTTATTTCACCCCTGTGTCATAAAAAGAAATCCCAGAAAATTATTTTTATTAGTAAAAATATTTTTTATTGACTGAAGCTGATCAGTATATTCTTTAAAAAATTACAAGTTAAAACAGAAATGTTTTAGTCTTTAATGATAAAAAAAAAACGCATATAAAACTTGATCTTCTAGCAAGCTTTTGTTTGTATAAGTTGATAGGACTACTACTGACCCAGACAAGAGGGGGCTCTGCTCAGCTTTTGGAACAGAAGGACCTCGACTGTCAGTAACCCAGGAGATAGTTTCTGGTTTAAAACATTTTATATCATATCATTTTATGTCTTTACACAGCAAAGTTCAGGGCTGAAAACCACAAGAGAACATATTTCTCATAGATTTGGAGCTGACTCTGATAAGCTACTGGTTATAATTTAAATGTATGCGCAGGTTTTTGAAAAATCAAATAGTTAAAACAGCGTTTTATATGTATGGATTCTCTCTTTGATGTTCACACTTTTAAAGAGCTTCTCGAGTATTTAACTGTAGCGTGCATCTTTACAGAGAAGGCTTTTTCTCTCTTAGCATAATTCCAAGTTTGTATATTATATATAATACACAATTAGGTCTAATTTCTTACACATGAAAAATATTTCTTACACATGAAAATGGTTAACCTGAAGACAAACAAAATATAGATGTTTAAAAATTAACTTTCAGTCTCTGCTCCCCTTTGGTATTAAATGTTGCTTACGAAGGATTACAATCCTCTTTTTGTTTTCAAGCTTAAGTATTAGGTATTGATGTCTGCTTCCTGCCTTCCACATGGATGAGAAATCAGCTTCTGCGC